CATTTTGGGCTCTCATGTATTGATCTTAATTAGTGTATTGTGAAGATATAATAAGGGTATAATGTATCTTAGCTTTAAATCAACACCTAGGGTCAATCCTAAGGCCAAGTAACTCTATAAGATTTCTTCTTGAGCTCTCCCATAATGATCTTACCTTCTAAATATTAGAGGTTAGGACCAATATGTGGAATCTCAAGTTGAGCAAAGAGAAGAGTTTTAAATTTCTAATGGTGAGGATACCTTTTATAGTTTTCTAAGACTAGTCAATAGGAAAGTCCTATGGCTAGACCTAGGCTACTAAAGAAGTTTCTAGACCTCAACCAAAAGTGAGGTCAACACATTCTCACTACTTTGAGATATGATTTTGTGAAGAATTGATTTTGTTTTAAATGGTTTTAAATGTCAATAATTTGTGATGATTTGAAATCTGATCTTCATTTACTTTTTGATCTAGCCAATTGAAATGTTAAAATGTGTAGAGAAATATATGTCCGAAAGAGCTATGATTTCTAAAACATAGTGAGAGTTACATTTGATTTCATGGGAGAGGATTTCCATCCATGAAGTTGGTTGCAAATAAATAGGGAAATATACTTTGTTGGATGCAGAATTGAAGATTTTAAGATGACAGATTAAAATCCTCAATTTGGTCCAGTTGATTGGAAATTGATGTGAGATCGTTATCCCTCAGGTGAGGGAGTAATGGGAGCTTTGGAGTGGCAGGGGGGGCAGCTGGTATCCTCCCAGCCTAACTACGATATTAGAGAGAAAACTCTATATTAGTCAATGTTCATTATGCACTCGGAAGAGGATAAAGAATAAGATTGCTTCTATTTAACACAAAACAATTTATATATATTTATATTCAAATGATTTTAATTTCTTCACAATCCATATACACATTGTGAAGGGGAAAGATGGTTTCTTAAATTTGAATTTTTCGTCACAAAAATGTTGTTTAATTTTCATAATTTTACTTTTGAAAGTTTAGCAATTAGTTTAATTAACTTTGTCTTTTTACTACATCTTATTTAGCTACTTTGTCTTTTTACTACATCTTATTTAGCATTCACTCTATTACTTTATATTCAAATTTAGCACGTCACTTTTATAGTTTAAAATTGTAGTTTAGATTTTAATCTTATGATTTTACTAATAAGCATTTCCAACTTCCCTGTGGGATCGATATCTAGGACTTCATTAGAGCCCTTTATTACTTGAGCGATACGTATACTTGCGTTATTTTTAGAGGATTTGACAGTTTAAAGATTTTTAAAAGATAAAACTTTTTCATAAAAGTTGTTTTTATTGGGATTAATTTGAATATTTAATATTGTATCTGTCATGCGTATTTTGTAATATTGAAAAGTATTTGCAAAGTTAACACACTAAATCTACCCCACATAAATGCCATCAAACCAAAACACACCCAAGTTGACCCAGGGTTTAACATTAGCCTAGTCTGAACCTAAGGACCAAACCAGGGTTGACTAAGGCTTACTCGAGTCAATCCGATTAAGGAAGTACCAGCCCCTAACATTAGATATGTCAGGAAAGAGATCCTCAAATTGGATAAAAAAGTGGCTTGGAGAATGATGTTAAAAAAAATGAGATCAACACACACCAACAATGAAGCTCAATGTCATTTCAACGTCCACGTCACTTTAATGTCACCCTGATCCCTTAACTACTTAAAAATATATCCTTTTACTGAGGAGATATTTTGGTGTATTTACAAATTAAAATCTCTTGCGAGAATCTTAAAAATTGGGAAAACCGGCACAAGAGCTTGTTTTTGCCTCATCTTCTATTTAGAAAAGTAAAGATGTTATCCTACCTATAAGAGTTTCAACCTCTAAAACCGAACAATTTAAAATATTTGTGAGCACTTTATTCTTTCTTAAATTTTTTTATCATTGGATAAACTCTCCATCAATTGCATAACCCACATCGAAAGTTTAAGGGCCATTTGGAGAGGCGTTGCGGTGTCGATGTTCTGTCCCACCGTTGTTTTTTCTATTTGGCAAAACTACATTTTATTTGCGTTCTCAAAAAACTGTATTAAAAAGCTATATTTTTCCATCAGACATGACTATCTGTGGTGGTTACTAGAAATTTACAGTCTGGTTTTGTTTAAAAAAAATGTAATAGCCGCGACAACTTTCAAAACAACAATTTCTTCTTCACAGCTGATTCTTCAAACAGTTACAATATCCCAAACAGACCCTTAGCCTCTCCTTCTACTTCTTCCTTGGTAAGCAGAGAGCATCTCTTATTCCACATGATTGGTAGCCCGGCAAAAGAAAGTTTACTTATATACATATAATGCATATTAAGGCGTCCATATTAAATTTATTTTTACATATCTAACGAAGAACATCAAATGTCAAAGCTTTTTTTTATTATTTAAGTTCATTTTGTTAGGGGAGTTCGATTGCTTGGCCAGGGCACCGACTTCAAGTTCCCATGACAACACAAATCTTATTTAGCAAACACCGTCTCAATCCTTTAAACTTTACCCTGTACAATGTGTTTTGGGTGCTATAAAATCTGTATTCATACATAATAAATAATCCTAATCTGCATTATAAATGACAATAAACAAGACCGAAGAAGAGAAATAAAAATACATAGATTTGACTATAACCCCTGCCTTTGTGTAGAAATCACTAGTAATTGAACTTTGTGGCCAACCATACACAATGCTGCAGCAAGGCTCAAAGAATAACCGAGCAATAGATGAATCCCTCTCTCTCCTCAAAAGCCAACATCCTATTTACTCGAACTGCTGCTGCACGTGGCATTCGGCTTAGAATCTGGGTTGTCACTTTTGTCCGTATCGGAGTTCTCTCTCAAGGAATCGATTTCACTGCTTCCAGCCCGGTTCCTTCTAAGCCTCCTGTCCTGTGAAATAGAATAAGGAATCTATTAATAGCTTTTGAAGTAGAAATAGCAAACACGGATGTTACCAAAATCTATAAGTGACATAAAAGTGTGAACCAATGATTAAGTTTCAAACAATAAAAACAAATTAGGTAGCTACTATCAGTCAAATAAATGGCTGTCATGACTATCATTGCGCAAAGAAAGGCTAAAGACTGAAATTAAAATAGGATATCTATAAATATTTTTATGTTAGTAATATAATAATAGATCCTATTTTAGATAGATTTGATTGCTTGAATTACTAAAATATTACCCTGATTAAAACCATTATTTCTAATATAATGAGAAAATTCCTCAAGAGGCCATGCAGTCTGAATGACACCAAGACTTGAGCAATCGAATCTACATTTTAGAGTAGTAGCATTACATCTGCATATGTCTTGGCTTTTTTCACACTAAGCATCTCATCTACAATGTATTTGAGCGTAGCGTGTTTCGAGGATAAAATAATTAACCAGATTATGTTGTATGAGGCTTTAAGACGAGAACAAATGTTGTGATAATATATCCTGTATTTGTTTTGAAACAATTTAAAGATGTACTCTTAAAATATCAACAAAAAATTGCTGGTGTAAATCAACTAAACAAGATACCATCTTTGTAATAGTTGATGAAATCGAATGGCATAAAATGCAATAGTAATATTTGTGAGAGTGTCAAAAAAATCAATAGCTTAAAAAGGTCTCCTGGAAAAAAATCCCAAAACACAAATAACGATAGGCGAGATGAAAACATCCGAGCCTACTCTAGCATGACACTAACTGTTATTAAACACTTGTACCCATAAATAAATTTACATTGGATGTAGGATATGCCTACTAATAGTTAAATTACTGCTCACCACCTAGATTTGCTATGAGGAATCAATCTTAAAGAAAATTGGAGAGATTTGATTGAATATTTTATTATAAATTCACAAAGAATTCATATAATCCTAGGAGAGAATCTAACTGATAACATACAATAGCAAGAAATAATAGTTACATCGATGGGGTTGCAACGATAGAGGAAAAAAAGATGATGAAAATTTTAATGAGTCTGGTTCTGGTTGGAGAAAACTATACAGATATTTTACTATCCATTTGAAACAAATGAATAGATATCATCCATTCCAAGTCATAAGACAACCCTCACGAAAATTTGGTGAGAATATCTGGAAGTTGTTCACAAATGACTATGAATATAATAAAGATTAGACAACTGTCAAGCTTTAAATTTATAAATCTATCAATTTTTAATATGCTTACTACCGCCCATATTCCATGGAAATATACAAAATGTTAATATATAACTTATTATCAGAACAGTGTCATATTATATTTTCTTACAACTTTTAAATTTTCCAGGATCATTTTTGGCCATAACTATCATAGGCTCTCAGTATCATAGATCTAATTTCAGCTAGTATGCTAGATCCTGCTCTTGCTTTTTTGTTTACATTTACAAGTCACAAAATTGCCTACTAAAAACTTGATCTGAAGTGAACCTCATGTCAACTTGTCAACTATTCAACCAAAGTAATCTGCCTCTATGTACGCTTCAAGAGCCAGCTCCACTCCATTTTGAATAGAATTCTTCGTTAGAGATTCCCTTTAAATATTATAAAATTTTATATACCATCCTAAGGTGTGACTGTTTAGTAATGGACATGAATTTGCTAACCAACCACACCAGCCAACAACATAAGTAATGTCAAGTCTAATATGTGATAATTAAAAATACTTTCTCATCAGCCTCTCCTCTAATAGAGGCTTTTTCAACTATTATATCTATGATTAAATTTTATTGGGGGAGAAAATTGAATCCTAATTTACTCAATTCTTTCAATAATTTTTTATAGTGAGATGAAGATTTTAATGCCAAATATATATTTTAACTTGCATAAATCTTCAACTTCAAATTCTTGGAGTAACAATTTCTTTAAATTCTTTATTTCTTTTAAGTTATCACTTGCCATGATAATATCCTCAAAATAAAATGGTGGTGTAGAGACTTCCATAAAGTCTTGTATTTCACAAATAATAAATGAGTTTCTTGACTTTGTTTATATCCTAATGTTAATAAATATCTAGGCAAACAATCCGAACAATGCGCTCGCATACTACTTCAACCCATACAATGTCTTTTAGTTGCTATTTAAGCTAAATCATGAAAATCTTTCCATGTATATTTCCTTCTCCATGTTAATAACAAAGAAGATATTTTTCACTCAAATTATTGTAACTTTAAATCCATATCAGGCACTAAAGATAAGAGAATGCTAACAATATCCATATTAACAAATAGAACAAAAGTTTTGAGATAATCGATCTTCTATATTTGAGTGTAATTTTTTATTGTTAGTCATATTTCTAGTGAATCTATTAGACTGGCCCCTACAGGGTCATTCGACAAATAATTTAAAAATTTATGTTAGGCACAAGGCTAAAAGGGCAAATGAGTTATTTGTTAAATTTCATCAAATTGGTATTAGAGCATTTGAGTATGCTGCTCTGCTAGAAATTTTTGAAGTTCACATTCGAGACTGCTAGTCTGCCTCGTATCATTTTAAACTCCTCAGTGTAACATATTCATGACTGAACCTCAAGATATAGTCATGATTTGAGCTAACAGAAAAGCCAACGACGAGATAGTGGGTCACATTTGTGACGGAACCTCACAATACAGTCATGATTCGAGTTAGTTGGGAAGCTAACGATGGGTTCGCAGGTCGCCTTCATGACTGAACCTCACAATTCAAGCTAGCAGTGAAGCCCTACGACATCACCTTTGAGATCGAACCTCATGATATAGTCATTATTGAAGTAGTGGGGAAGCCTACAACGGCATTGCAGTTTACAAGAATTCCCGCCTTCATGATGTAAAATCATCCTGAGAGTAATAACAGTCAAGAAACTAGAATGCTGTAGAGGAGAAATTAAAAGAGATGTTAGCCAAAACAAATATTGAATGGATGAGCGTTTCTCATCCACAGAGGGGTGGTTCTTGTCCACGAGGGGAGACTCATGACCGTGGAAAAAATGATGATGATGATCGCGGAAATTCACAGAAACCCTCCTCTGCCTGCTACAATATTGAGCAAAAGCGTTTCTCATCCACAATATTTAAAGATCTAAGCACTATTGATAAGAGGTGAAATGTATAGTGTTTTTTTTAACATCATATTGGATATATAGTTCTCTCAAAAGAATAAATCTTGAAAAAAACTTGAGACAAAGGAAGTAGCTTGAGTTTATTAAAGATTATGACTTCAAAATAAGTTATTCTCATGGAAAAGTTGATGTTGTGATTGATATTTTAAGTCAGAATCTACAAGTACTATAAAGCTACAAGCCCCGTATCTAGGTTTGTAGTTGTTTAAATATTGAGCTTAATAAATTATGTTCAATCCTACTTAATTAGCTAATTAGATTAACATAAATGAGCCAGATTAGAGTCTAGCTCTAGTTATTAACTGTGCATCTGTTCTCTTTTAACCTTAATTTATTGGATTTATCGTGCATGTAGATGATTTTGTCTGAAGCAAAATATGCCAACTACTTAGTTGCAACAGAAAGCCTTAAACTTTACCATAAATAGGTAGAAACAAAGAGACAACATTGCATACCTCACGTGATATTGGATCATCTGAATCTAGCATTCGAGCAACCTGCCCCATCCTAGGTCTCTTCTCTGAATCAGGGTCAACACATCTTAAAGCTGTTAGAAGGGCTCTCTTCAGTGCCCTAGTGGATGGCTTTTCCAGTATAGTTGGATCCACCACCTCTTCTGATCTCCTGCTACCAACCATCATTTTAAGCCAGTCCACCAAATTAACCTGCAATCACCGTGAAAAAGTAAACTAAACATTCGCTCAAAGAATGCTCTCTGAAGTGACATTAATATACCTCATTTGTAGGACGACCATAATCAACGGGATCCCTCCCAGTTATGGCTTCCAATAGAACAACTCCAAAACTATAGATGTCACTCTTCTCGTTAAGAAGTCCAGTGTTAGCATATTCTGGTGCTACATAACTATCAAACAAAATGTTAACAAATAAACAAGAATATGATAGGACAGTAGATGATGCATACTATATTCAATCAGCTCTCAGAATATCAGCAATCAAAGATATATGAATATGGCATAAAATAAGATGCAAGTAATTGGAAATAGGCTGCTCACCCAAAGGTTCCCATAACTCGAGTAGTAATATGGCTTTTCCCAGCACCTAACAGCTTTGCTAAGCCAAAATCTGACACCTTGGCATTAAATTCAACATCAATTAATATATTGCTGGATTTGATATCCCTATGAACTACCTTTGGCTCAATTGCTTCATGAAGATAAGCCAGGCTGCAAAAATGTATTATTTATTTGAATTAGAAAAAAGTTCATAACTAAGATTTAACCAAGGTGAAATTGAGCATTTTGGAAAATAAAAGAACATGCATGAAGCTAGAAATTATACATAGCTCATCTTGACTATAAAAAAGATAAAGTATAAAAAATAATCATATCACTAGTTCAAATAGACCAAATAGTTCACATCACAATTTTATGTGAAAGACTAACAAAAAACTTTTTCAGATGAGTTGCATAGAAAAATTACTGATTTAACACTATTTCAACTTACGCTTTAGCAGTGCCAAGGAGAATCTTGATACGAGCCTCCCAAGTCAGGGGTGCCCTTTGACGCAATACTCCATGAAGCCATTGCTCAAGGTTTCCATTATTAACATATTCATAAACAAGCATCCTGAAATATATGCATGTTAATAAAAAAAAAAACAAAAGATCAAATGAGAAATCATAAGGATGACAGAAGATATAAAAATATTACATAATTTAAAACCGATTCTCCTAAATTCATCGACACTATAATGCTCAAAGTTAAAATTACAATATATGGTTCCCTCAAAATAGAAAGCTATGGCAGCAATATAAATAGGGAAATTTTTCATTTTAACCTTAAAATATTTTGTAAAAAATACACTTAAGCATATTTAACGCTTAGAAAATGCAATAGAACTTTTGAGTCATGGGCTCCACCCTTCAACCCCCAAATAACTTAGTGTTAAGTTGGCTCTAATGGCACAAATGGAATCACTAACAGAGACCAACAATAAAGTTCAAACTTCAAACACTCTCAGCACAAACAAAGCAGAGAATTCAAACATATACTATTTAACCATGAGGCCAGATGAGAATTAAGCAATTTGAACCAATGAAGTACTTAATACAATAAAAACACTAATGAAAAATACTTTGCAGTTCAAAATGACATCTCCAAACTAAACATGATATCGTAGTGGGAAATTTTAAAGCAAATTTCACTGAGGAGAACGCCTCCAGACTCCAACACTTGCCATCATAACAGCAACTACACTTTACTGGGAACCATTATTCTCATTACAAATGACAGCAACATTCTAAAAAAAAGGAGTAGATTCAGATGTTGACTTTTCGAAGTTAAACCAGTATTGTATAATTGCAAAGCTGGACACACTCAAATGAAACAAAGTAGAAAGAAAGCAATAGATGATAAATGTACAACATACCTCTGTGTACCCTCCACACAATAACCCAAAAGCCGAACTAGGTTTTTGTGGCGGACATGACCAATTGCCTCCACTTCCACCCTGAACTCTTTTTCCGCCTGCCCTCTATGTTAAGTTATAATGCAAAAACAAAAAAAATAAGAATTTTAAATTTGAATGCATGCAATAATATACTAGGACAAGCTAAAAAATGAAGCGTTTATAAGCTTACAGGTTGTTAAGAAGTTTTTTGACAGCTACTGGAGTTCCATTAATCAATTGGCCACGATATACAATTCCATAACCTCCCTCTCCTAGGACATTATCTTTTGAAAAACGATTTGTTGCAAGTTCCAAGTCCCTTAAAGTAAACCAATGACCCCATCCAAGGTGTGAGAATTCTGGAAGGCCTAGAAGAGGAGAAGGAGCAGCTATAGAATTGGCAGACGGTTTATAAGCAGCAAAGGGGCCCGAATCATCACCAGAATGGGAACTAGCATCTTTTTCAAGATTGTGAAAAGAGTCTGAATAACTCTTGCATTCTGCATTTTTTGAATAAATTATGCCTGGATGATTCATGGCCTTGTTTGATTCTCTTCCATTGGAATTATTTTGAATCGTGAGCATAACCTGATCATTTCCTATAAAGCCAAGGGAAGGAAGTTGCTTCACCTTCACCTCCTTGATTTCTTTAGACACAACTGGGATTTGTGTCAGCGGTGAATTAGAGGAATCCCTTCTCAGCTTTTTCCGGCTCCGATAAGTAAGACATATAATCAGCATGAGTAGAATACAAAGCATTAGAGCTCCAACACATATACCAACAATGACCCATATTTTCAGGCCTAAGAGATCAGTCTTTTTAGATAAGCCTTGAGAAAGACCAGTGTCTGTGGAACTCATATTTCAGATGGTAAAATATCTACAAGGAACAGCAAATCAGATCATTGTTAAGTAGAGGACCATTACCTACCCATAGTGCAAATATTGTGTAAAAAATGTGCATTCTACATTCAAGAATAACTTCATATCAAGATTCAAACTGCAAATTTTCTAGTATATGCATAAAAGCTTTTATAAATAAGACTTCAAGCATCTACACATTAATCCTAAATAAACCTATGTAGTATATGCTTAAGAGCTTTTGGTTAATAGTACTTTAAGAATGCACAAAATAATCTAAAACCAACATATTCAGCCAAAATTGTGTAGAAATATTAGAGATTTGTGCATATTAGTCAGTTAAAATTGGTTGTGCTGCATAACCTATTACACTAAATTAAACCACTGCAGTTTTATAACAGCAGTAAAGTTAGTGTTTTATTATGTGCCTCCAAGATTTAGATATCTCTATCAATTCACATTGTTTCAGCTGCAGTGTGGATGTGGTGAGGTGCAAGTTCGAGACACTACGTGAGGAATGTTAGTGAGTTGGCATGTTTAAACCATGATACTCCTTAGGCATACAATTTTTTTATGTAAATTTAAGAACTGGATATATGCAGCAAACAATTACCATATAAACGATCCAAAGATCTAAATCAGAAAGTAAACTGAGAAAAGAATAGCTAAGAAGTTAAAAACTAAGCTGCTAACCCATAACAACGCAATTTAAAATCATATTAAACATTCTTCTTTTTCGATTCTATATCAGTTGTTCATTCAAAAATCAAAAAATGTAAACAGAAGCAATCAGTAAAACTGAAAAAAACCACTGAATATATCCAAACAGATGCAACTATCAATCACTAAATATGCAAATCACTAGCACAATATTTTATAAAAATTAAGTAGATATGGATTATTGTGGGGTAAAGATAAGATGGAAGCATTTTCCAAACGGCAGCATGCATCAATTAGCCTGGGTAAATCAAGTAAAATACTTTCTAGCATACAATTTTTCGTAACCGGATAATCATTCAGGACAAACTGAAACGACTACAAAGCGCACAAATAAATCATTTACGTCTGTAATTGGTTACAGCAAGAATGGATATTCACCTGTGATCTTAAAAAAGATAAACTATGCTATTATTTTAACTCAAAAGCATACATAAACCCTCACATATCTGTCTTTTCTGTAAGTGAGCGAGTGTAAAACAGATCCTTCGTTAGTGTATTTGAGTTTGTTCAATGCAAAACAGACAGATCTGCTGACAAACAAATATAATCTGTGGTTCTATTTTTGTACGATAGAAAAGCAAATTAGAACTTTAACCGTAAAATAAACAGAAAAAATAAACGTTATCTAATCATCGCAGTGTTCGTGAAATAAAAGATACTTAACGTGAAAGTATCATTAGAGGGGAAAGTTGAAACAATTTTCCAACCAAGCGCAACTACTATGTTTCAGATGTCACAGAAGTTAAGTATCATAGAACATCATGAGTCGTGACGCAATTCAAAACATTATACCTTCGATCCCCGGATGACAGCCAAAATCCAGTTTCTTTTCCTTTTCTCAAGACCGCATTACCTCAGACAAAGACCCAGTGACAACCGTAGCCCAACAACGTTTAGATCTATATCGCATCTGCAATGTAGAAATTCAGGATAGGATGGCAACCGGATCCAGCGGTTAGACCAGAAATGGGGTGGATCACACCGGAGAGCTTCTGGCGATGGGCGGTAGGAGGCCGACTAGCGCTTTTGGGAGGATCTCAAAACTTCTGCGTGGGAACAGTGATTCGGCTCTGATTTGTTGCCAGACGAGGTAAAGGGCATCGAATGTGATATGTGAACAACGAGGAGAGGTTACCGAGGAGCGTAGGAGAAGAAGAGAAAGGAGGAGAATGAGAGAGAGAGAGGTCGGGAGAAGTTGAGTTATCAGCGTTAGGTGGTGAGGGCGGAGATGCTTCCTAGCGCAGTTAAGGGAAACGACATAACAGTGGACCACCGAGTTTTTCAGTTTTCAGTATCCCTGCTTTGTTGCTTCCAGATTTTCCACTTGTTAACATACAGGCTTCAGGTTCCAGTTAAGTCACAATGTAACTGTTGACAGCAGCTGCAGTCAAAAATTGGCGGAGCAGCTTCACAGAAATCCCATAATTTGCTGACTGGAGATGTAACTGATTAGAGATTCTGAGTTTAAATCCCACAATAAAATAGGCGGGCCATCACTACTGAAAGAGGGATTTTTGCTTTTCTCTTTTTTTTTTTTTTTTTTTTTTTTTTTTTTTTTTTTTTTTTTTTTTTGTATTCTTCTTTGTTTATTTTTTTTTTTTATTTTTTCCTACTTTTTTGAGGCATGTACAAACATGCCACACAACTCTTATATATTAATGTATCTAACATCTAATTTTTTTGTACATAAAAAATATGTGAGCGCTTATCTCAAAGAAATCCAACTATCCAAAAAGGAATAGTATATCAAAGACTGATCAACTGCCAGAAGATCATGACAACCACTTGGCTGGCCAAGCGAAGCCGTACTAGCCAAAGCGGACTAGGCCACAAGGCAGACAAGAAGATGACTGAATGATCCAAGAATAGGTTGTTCTGCCAGAAACGAGACAAAAGAACATTTGAGCTAATCACTATAAGAAGAATGACCCAATACAATAGTCTACCCTCAAGTAAAATCAATTCATGGGAAGATCTAGTTCCACAGTATCTTCAACCATCTCAATGACGTCCCAAAGACTCCTCACCTAGGATCAAGAAATGATAGTCGAGCTGGATCAGTCGATCGACTCATGCCGACAAAGCTCAACCGACCGAGTTGATTCCATCAACGCGAAGACAACTAAACTTAGTCGATCGAGCCAAAACACATCCAAATGAGATAAGCTCATACATGTAAAATATCATAAATGTCCTAATATGAACTTCTTCCTAAAAGGGGCAAAATTATAATATCTACGTTGGGAAACATTTTATAAATAAGATATGATTGACTACTGTTCATTATTGTTCATTTATCTCCCTCGCACCCCCCCCCCCCCCCCCCCCCCCCTTCTTACTTTCACTGTACTCATTTGGATTCAAAGCTTTCATATGTATGTTCACAACGCTAAAATTTGTAATATCGCATAAAAATATTATTATTATTAACTTTTTTAAAAGTGATATATAATTTTTCATGTGAAACATAAGACATCAACATGTTATAAAGTGAATATGAAAGAGGTTAAGTGCTAGATATGTAATTTTTTTGTTTGATGGTACAAACTTAAATTCTCTACAACCTCAATTTTTTCTTCTTCAATTGTTATGTAGAAAATGAAGAATGATGATCATATTTAATAAGATAATGGGTCCAAGGCATTGAAAACTATTCAATTGGCCTTTCATCTACCTAAAGTGCAATCCTAGCTCTATGCTTGGTTTGAAATTTTCATTCAAGTAACTTTTTTTTTTGTAAGGTGATCGCCCAGAGAGTACTTGTTGGGATATTGGTATGTGGATATACCGATATTGATGTATGGTATGAGACTTGCATCAATTTATTATAAAACTAAAACACATTGATCATATTGATAGATAGAAAGATAAACATTTTAGTTTTACTTAAAATCCTAAATATATGCAAATAAATGAACCAAGATACATAAGAAATTCTAAATTTTAATTTGAAAAAATCAAATAGAAAATAACCATACAGTTTAATCCAACTTTAAAAAGAAAAGATCATTATATTAGTCAATTTTTGAAAGATTACATTTCTACACTATGGGAGGATGCTATAACATATGATTTGAATTGGAAATTGATGTCTCTTATAATGATGGTGGAGAGTATTGGAATGTGGAAATTTTGATAAGACTTATAGTGAACAATGATAAATGCCAATGGCAAAGACAATGTAGATGAATATCTAAAGAATAAAAAATGATAAAAAGCATTATTGATTAGTAGTCATGGATATAAATTTTCAAATGCATAACAAAGACCAAGGTTTGAAATAAAAAAAAGGAGTCAAATCATTAAAAATTAATATTTAATTAGAGGTGAACATGGTAATCATCTTAATTGAAGAGAAAATTATGCAATTAGAAGTGGCAAGTAGAAGATAAACTAAGGCATATCTAATTCAAAAGGCAAATAGCCAAGTTTTCAAACAATGACATTCTAAAAAAGCGCTTTCGTTAAACAAACATTTTACTTTATTTTGAAAAAATTTGGTTTTGTTTGAAAAGGTTTTAAGTTTTGTTTGATAAATGCTTTAGTTTTATTATGAAAATATTTTTTATTTTATTTTAAAAAAGAATTTAGTTTTATTTTATTTTAAATATTTTTTTGTTTTAATTTTATTTTGAAAAAAATTAATTTATTTATTTCAAAAAAAGTTTTAAGTTTTAGGTTTCAAGTTTTATTTTTGATTCGAAAAAGGTTTGAAAAAGGCTTTAATTTTGTCTTAAAAAGGTTTTAAATTTGTTTGAAAAATGGTTTTAAATTTGGTTTGAAAAGGTTTTTGTTTAATTTAAGAAAGAGTTTTAATTTTGAAAAGGCTTTAATCTTTATTTGAAAATGGTTTTAATTTTGTTTGGAAAAAGGTTTTATTTTTTATTTAGAAAAAAGTTTTAAATTTTAGTTTGAAAAAGATTATAATCTTTAATCTTAACTAATTTATTTTGAAAAAGGTTTTAAGTTTTAGTTTAAAAAGGTTTTAAGTTTTAACTTATTTTTAAAGGTTTTTTAATTTAGTTGAAATGAAGTATTCTAAGTTTTAATTTGTCCAAAAGGATGTATTTTATTATCTTCAAAAAGTTCTTCAAAAGAGATTCTCTTAAGAATAAGCCTTCATTATATTCTAAAATTTAAGATTTTAGAGCACATTTAATTTAAATATTTTTTATAAAAAAATATATTTTATTTTATATGCTTTTCTAAACCCTCTTTCTCACTTAATTTTAGAAATTAAATTCGCTTTCACATAACAACACATAAACCATAGATTTTACGTCAACCTATATTTGTAATTACCATTATGTTATAATTTGCAAATAAAATCACCCAACTTCATGAAAAAATAAAGTTCAGCCCAAATTTCATAAAAATATAAAGTTTATCTCAAATTGTACGGAAATATAAAGCTCACCCAAAAACTTGCATGGAAATATAAAGCTCATCCCAAGTTGCATGAAAATACAAAGCTCATGGGTCATGCATTCTGCTACATGCACATACACATAGTCATTCACACATGCACACATTAAAATAATTATACACATTCCTTCAAAAACACATGCACGTTTATTAACACATACACAAATTCATTAAAATACACATGCATACACATTCATTCACACTTATGCGCATATTATCACTCTTATAAGGATATTAAAATTCACATGTTTAGCGCTCTTAACCTTATATATATATATTATATAAGGAGCATGGCTCCATTCCATTAAAAACAAAAAAAAAAAAAATTACAAACAGGTTAAGAGGGCCTATAAAAGGGGCAACCTCTCAAAAAGAAAGACAATCAAAGAGGGAAGACTATCTAATGTAAGGGAGAGGAAGAAGGTCACTGGACAATAGGAAGGAGTGGAGTAGGAATCATCTTGCTAACCAATGAGACTTCTGTGTGGAGACCCCTTCTAGTCAACCAATTGGATGGTCTGTTACCTTCTCTATGTATATGAGTGAAAATTATGGAGCAGTTCTTCAATAGAAGATGAATCCCAAAAATCCAACAAATTAAGTTCCAGGGGGTATCACAAGAACCCTTGATGATGTTGATAAGAAATAAGGAATCAAATTCAACCCATAATTGATTAAAACTGTAGGCTTTAGTAAAATAGAGAGCCCAAAAAATAGCTTGACATTCAGTCTTAAAAGGATCAACAGCCATAACAGGAGACTGAAAATATAAAATGCACTTCCCCCTGTGATTCCTGAAGACACCACCAATACCTGCATGTTGAGGAGTGTAACTGCCATCAATGTTGACCTTTATCCAACCATTCTGGGGGAGAGACCAGCATATTTTAAGAACTTTAGTAATAGAAGGTTTGAAAGATGAGGCCAGCTCAAATACAGCTCTAAAATTTTTAAATTTAATCAAAATCTAAAGATAGGCTATGCAATTCAGACCCACTTTTGTGGCACCTAAAGGAGTAGCATCAAAATTCAATTGATTTCTAGCCATCCAAACAAACCAGGCCACAGTATTAGGGATATCCTAGAGTTTAACACCCCTCCAATCAGACCAGCAGTTATAAAAAACATCCAATGAAAGATTCATGGTAGGAACATTAAACTTTGCTAGGAAAAAATTCCAAACTTGTTGTACCCAAGGACAGGAAAAGAAAAGGCGAGCTAGGGTCTCCTCCTCTGACAGACAAAAAATACATCTGGAGGGACCTCTAAGACCCTTCAATTTTTCAATTTTAAAATTTTAAGATATCATCAGTGGGAATCAGTTTAGAGAAGAGTCTCCAAATGAAGAAAGACATGGAAGGAGTAAGAAACCTGTTCCAAATCGTACGACTCCAATCCACCACCTGTTGGAGAGGGGTAGGCTGAGAACAGTTCTTTTTAATCACAATTCTATCCTTTTTCCCTTGGACAATAGAGATTTTCTATATATTAGAGAGCTGACAAGGATTGCAGAATGGAAGGATATGGTTCAGATTCCAATTTTCATTCTCCCATAGATCATTAACTAACATGGGGTAGGCTGGGGCATTGAGGTGTTGAAGCAGACTTCCTTCCAAAAACCAGTTATCCCACCAAAGATTTACCAATCCATCACCAATCTCCCAGACAAACATTTGTTCAGCTTCCTCCCTAACATGTAGCATCTTTTTCCAAATAGGAGAGTCCCCCGAACCATTAGATATATAACTAGGATGTTGTTGTTTACAGTATTTACCCCTTAGGAATTCAGCCCAAAGAGAGTCCTGGGATCTGAATTTGAGCTTACAAAGGTAAAGGTTTGTGTGCATTATTTGAGGGAAGGACTTAAAGCCTAATCCTCCATCCCTTAAAGGTTTACAAACCTTAACCCAAGTGGTCCAATGTTTTTGTTTCCTTTGGCCAGCCCACATGAATCTATTGAACATTCCCTCCAAAAGTCTTTAAGTAGCCTTTTTCATA